TAACTGAAATTGAACCTTTCTTTGTAATTCATGCCATTAAATAAAAACACCAGATTACTCATCTAAAAATGTATACAACATTCTGCTAGAGTAGTCCCCCCTCAGCCATATAGGAGGCATAGTAGGCATATTTCATTATCTGTTCTCTGGGACCGTTACTGATGGAAGATTATTCTTTAAACTTATTCTTTTATTTAGAAATACTTCTGTTTTGTTGAGTGAGGTATAGATAGCATTTTAACAGAACTAATAATGATAGTTGACATTTCTACTGTACTTTACTATTTACAAAGCCTTTTACATTAAATATTTCTTTAGATCCTCCTCATTTTACAAATTCTTAACAGAATTTAAGTCCAGTGATATTTCTGTATGTGATGGATTCCCTACTCTTCCTCAGTATATTGCCATCATTTTTCCATGTTATTAGAACATTTCCTGAAGCTTAGATTCCTGGAATGTGTGGTATGTTACAAGGCTTGAACGTTGTTTGAGGCAGTGAAAAGAGAAGCCTTTTTGTTTTCAGAAAGTAATCTTAGTTGGGTGGGTGGGTGGGTGTGTGTGTGTGTGTGTGTGTGTGTGTGTGTGTGTGTGTGTGTGTGTGTGTGTGTGTGCGCGCGCAGACCCCCAAATCAGAGCCTTTGGGTAGTATTTACATTGTTTTGGTAATTGCAGTATCTTTGAGTAGAAAACTGAGAATGTAGCAGATGTAAGTAATTGATTCATAGCTGTTCCTTTCACTTTTTTTTTTAATCCCCCTTTCACACAAAACTGAGCTTCTGTGAGAGGGAGAATATTGCATGTCTTTTGTCAGTGATTTAGCCTTTAAAAATTCTGTCTACCTAGTAACTAAATTTCTTAAAAAATAGATCATGAATTGAATGATCATGATCATTCCCGCCAGCCTTTCTCATGGGAAAGTACTGGAGCTTTTACCTGAAGTGAAAACACGTAAGAAAAACTTCCTAATAATTGGAGCTATCTAAAAGCAAAAAGGCCAGCCTCAGGAGCTGGTTGGTTCTCTCTCCACATGAAGACTTTAAGCAGTACTGGGTGACCATTCTTTGAAAATTCATAGCCACATATGGATTGGAATAAATGGCCTCAGAGGTTCACTCTTAACTGGAGTGGCTCTATAATCTAGTGTAAATGAAGTAATAATTCTTGGGTAGGTAGGAAATATTCCAATCTACTGCCATGGTTCAATTATGGGGTATAATTTGAACCTTTAGCTTCTTAGCTAAAGGTTCATTGTACCAGTTGATGAAGTGCTATACTTCTTGTTTTCAAGGGTAACAAGGTTTCTGTTCCCTGCTTTATAGTATTAGAAAATCTTGTTTCATGTAGCTTTAGCTACATGAAAGCTTCAGCTTTCATGACACTGAAGTATATGTTTCATGTAGAGGTTTTGTTTCTAAAGGGTTGCCTTCTACAGATGTTACTTGTCCTTTCACCATGGCCTGGCCTGTGATCTCGTAAGTACAGTGAGTTCTAGATAGAAAGGTACTTTAAGAGGCTGCATTACTGTCAGGACTTTGTCAGTGGCCTTGAGAGGAACAAGCACATTTCTCATTTGGAGCATAGGAGCCTTAGACTTCTAATTTTTATTACTATCTCTGGTTTTTATGTCCACATTTCCTAATGTATCTTTTCTCTCTTCTCCCAGAGAGCCATACCTTATAATAAAGATTAGAGGAAAAAAGTACAGAAAAATTAACTAGCCTATCACGGAAGTCTAACATTTCTGTTCATTGTGTTACGTCCATAGTCCCACCTCTATGGAGGTGGAAAAGTCCTGGGTTTGCATCCCTTCTCTACAGATTAGTAGCTCTTTAAGACTTGGAGCATACTGCTTTAATCTTTATGAGCTGCAGTTTTCTCCACTGTAAAATGAAAATGATAATATTAATGCTACGTATCTTCACAAGGTGGATCAGAAAGAAGTGCCTCGTTATTACAAGACAACTATGAGTATCCGTTGTTAGCATAAAAAAGTTCCCTGAGGGTAGACTCATCATCATCATCATCATATTCTCCACCTGTCTCACTGGGCCTGGCACTGAGGACTCAGTAAATGTTTGAATGAACGCAGTTTGATTGTGAGTCAATAAGCATTTTAAAACATTCTAGAGAAAAAGACACAAATAGTCCCCAACTTCAAGAGTTTACATTCTATTGATGTAGAACATTTACATAGGTGTTATATTTACATACATACATATACAGATATGTATACATACAAAATAAATATGGATAATTTGGAGGATGCACACTAACTGTGTGAGTCTGGAAAGGCTTCTTAAAAGGAGGTGGCATCCTGAGTCTTGGAGGGAACTGGTAGTTCCAGGCTGAAACAGCACATTAGACATTAGTACATGCTAGGTAGGCTGTGCCAAGGCCCACAGGCAGAAGCTGGACTGTCACAGGGAACGGCAAATAAGCCAGTTTGTCAGCGGTGCACAAGAAGCAGTAATGTATATTCACCTTGGAAATGAGAGTTGTAGCCAGTTGTGAAGGGCTTTAAGTGACAAGTTTATAGTTTGTACCTTTTCCTAGAGGCGATAGATGAGTGTGATCTTATCCCCCTTTATACATGACAAATTGGGAAAAGTGCTGGACTGACTGATTGTAGGGATCAGAACAGAGACTTGGATTCCAATTCTGATCTTTACTAATTGTTTACATTTCGGCAAGTCATGTAACCTCTGAGTCTTACAGAAAAAAATAATTTACCCCACAGGGTTTTAAGGAGGGAAGCACTTTGGGGGCCTTTGAGCAATATACAAATGGAAATTTATTACAATTGCTGCTTCACATAAGTCTAACATGAAACCCGTGGGTTTGGGCAAATTTTTTTTTAATAATTTAGATAAAGTTATTGTTAACCTATACACAAGTCTAAATTCTATCCTGTTGTAATGACTGGCATTTTATTTTTAGTTCTTTGTTGACATTAACATATGAAGATAATGTACAAAGAAACCAGAAAAGGTGTAAATAGATTTTTTTTTTTGCTGTGTGATTATGACTTTTGGTAATTTATATTTAGCTAATGTTGTAACTTTTGACAAAGCATTTCCTGAAATATAGCATTTGTATAGTGATCCCTGTTTTGGCCTTTTCTCTCCTCTTTAGAACGTAAGCCAACCCTCACAGCTGCAGTTTCAATGGGAGAGGGCGAGCAGACCGGCACAGCGGAGGCTGGAGATCTACCAAAAGTCCAGATTCCTCCTCCCAGTCATCCTGCCCCTGTACATCAGCCACCTCCTCTTCCTCACCGCCCCCCCCCACCACCTCCTTCCAGCTACATTACTGGAATGTCAACTACAAATTCCTACATGTCAGGAGAGGGTTATCAAAGTCTGCAGTCCATGATGAAGACAGAAGGACCAGCCTATGGGGCTCTGCCTCCAGCGTATGGACCACCCGCTCACTTGCCATACCATCCTCACGTATATCCCCCTAACCCTCCGCCACCTGTCCCACCTCCCCCAGCATCATTTCCACCACCCAACATCCCCCCACCAACTCCTGGATATCCTCCTCCACCAACATACAACCCCAACTTTCCGCCTCCACGATTGCCTCCAGCTCATGCTGTTCCTCCCCACCCTCCTCCGGGGCTTGGGATGCCACCTGCCAGTTACCCTCCTCCAGCTGTGCCCCCAGGTGGGCAACCCCCAGTGCCACCTCCCATCCCCCCACCTGGCATGCCTCCTGTGGGAGGATTGGGACGTGCAGCTTGGATGAGATAACGTGATGCCTCTTCTCCCCCTCACCCTTTTTTTTTTAATTCACTTACCTTTGAAGTATAGTTTAAATGGCAAAATAGTTGAACAGCAGGGTACCTTGTATATTGCTACACAGCTGCAGTACAGAAAGGGAATGGAATGGTGAACTTGAACTCTAGTGGGCCTTCTACGGTATGGCTTCTCGTATAGCTATTGCAAAGCCAATTATCTAACTTTACACACTTGATTAATTTAAAATCAGTTGTTACTGCACTGGATTACTTCATACTAGTGAACGTGTTAACCAGCCATATTGGCTCAGTAGTTATCTATGTAAGGAGTAAATTTCCTTTTAAAAATCAGTGCCTACTTTTACTGGAAAATAAGTTTTAAATAATCCAGTATCATCTAAAGTCAAAACTCCGTTTTCCTTCAGTAATATTCTCCAGTGATACATGATGCTGTTGTCAAGTTTCTTGGTTTAACTGGTATTATCAGTCCTTTAATTTTAAAATTTTTTTGGACAGGTTGGCCTTGCTGAATTTGGGGCTGGTTTTTGTTTGTTTGTTTGTTTGTTTTTTGGTGGGGGGAGACAAGGGAATGGAAACCTGACCTTGGAAAGTAATGTATGTTTACATCTATTTACAAATTCCTGTACATACAGATATATTTTTAAAGTGTGAATGTAACATCATACTGTGAATTCCATCTTGGTTACAAATGATACTCCCTCAGTCAATTACCTACCCAAATAAAATCAGTTCTGAAAATATAAGAATGGTTTGTTGGGGTGGGGGGGAGAGGGGGGAGCAGAGAATGAAGATAGGTGATTTAAAACCTCACTGTTGCACCGTCTCCCTGCTTTCTCATGTTCCTGGAGTTCCTCCTTTTCACAGCCCCAAATCAGTCAGCTACTGACTGAATCCCACCCCTTTCCCCACTGAATCTTATGGGCTAGCTTGTGGGTACTAAACTGACACTGTTTTTATGAGAAGATCTATTAACTTTGTGAATTTGAGGGGGTGGGGGTGGAATTCATTGGTAAATTAGACTACCTAACTTTAATGGTCTTCTTATTTCTGTTCTCTGAATGACCATAAACTACAATTGAAGTACTTTCCCTTAGGGGAAGTTTGATAACTGATACTCTTAATTAGAACACAGGGTAATGGACCTTTAGGCATGTATGGGGGAGATGTATGGGTAAGGGGACTCCTGATAACTGCTGAGGTGCAACAACTTCATCACACAATTTGGAGTCATCACAGCTTGCTTACAAAGAAGTTACTTTATTTCATTTAACTGCAAGTATACACTATCACAATCATATCTCTGACTTCATTTTACTAAAATATTTCAAATCAATGTTTTTAACCACACATTGTCCAAAAAAATCTATTTTCCTTCTCCCAAGAAAATCAAAGTGGTTTCAGTAAAAGGTAAAAATTCGTGCTAAAGTCTAAAGGGCTTTTTGCTCTGTACACAAACAGCAGGAACATATTTGTTCCAGTTCTCATGTAAATCACAGTCTATGAAAAAATGGGGTGGGGGGGTTGGTTGGGCACTGGCAAGTCACAGGCTATACAGAAATCATACACTTTCCAGCAGATTTCCACAGAGCAGCACAAAGAGACATGCCCCACTTTATGAAAAATATACAATTTTACCACTTTATAGTCACGCACTTTGCTTCTTTAAAAGATCAGTAGTCTTATTCTTGCCCTCTCCAGTTCAAAAAGATGAAAGGTCACTTTCCTTTTGTTTAAACACTGACATAACATTAGTGACATTTGAATAAAAATGTGCCTTCTTGTGTTCAACAGGTTTGGATTCTGAGGTACAATGGGTCACCCCAGCACAGCTTGATAGTAAACACTGCAGTACAGCTGTTGTAACGAAACTTAAGAAATGCTGTTCAGTTGCTCTGGAAGACAGCAAAGATTTAGGCTTTAAGGACAACCAGAATCTAGGCTTAGGGATTCATAAGATAGTATTCAGGTGTCTTCCGTATCTAGATAGACTGTATATTGTATACTTTGTGTACTTTGGTAGAGGCATGTCTTATTTAGGTACTTAGTAAGTTTCCTGTGTCCCCCAAATAAAACAAACTCAAAAGTCCATAGAAGAAACACTAGCCTCTTGGGAACATAATTGGGTGCCATCTTCAACCTGGAAGCTATCCCTTTCTGGTTTGGGCTGTGGCAGAGTGAAATCAGAATTAACAGAGACTTAAAGATTATTTACATACTAAGATGCTGCCTAAAAGTGTGATTCTGTGGGAAAACTGCTTCATAACTTGTGCCCCAATTTGGAAGCAGGTATTGGCAGAAAAAGTGTTAGAGCTAAAATGTAACTTGCAAAGGTCACTCTACTATTCATTTTTGGATTTATGGGTCAAATCAATGTTGGTTATTGCTTTTTTGTGCAGTTGTCTTAGCCAATGCATTTCCAAATAGACATCAAAGATGTCTGTTGTCTCTTAACAAACTGAATTTGTCATCTCATTTGCAGGTCTGCAGTGTTAAGAGAAAAACTGAACATTATTAGAAGGGGCCACCCATCCAATGAAGGAATCTCTTCAAGGCCACTATGTTCAGAAGTTCTTGCTTATAATGATATGAAATCTGCCTACCTGTAACTTTTACAACCATTACAAAAATGTGCTTCATACTTGCAAACTCTTACTTGCATCTCAAGATTGAATTGCTAGAGTAAATCATTACCATTCAAAAGCCCCATGGTGATAGAGAGAAGTCAGCAGCAAAGTCATACAAATGAGGGAAATCACTGAGCAGTGATCTCACAATCACATATCCCATGAACAAATGAAGGTTTGGATTCAGCATTTTAAAAATGTGAACTTTTAAGGTCAGTCGAGGATAGGAACTGGACCTATGATTTCTCTGGTATAGGAAACTCCTTCTACCAACTTAAGACTTCTCTGTAACTTTTACAGCCTTAGAAAATTGCCTAAGACCGCTGGGAAGTTCAGGGATTTGTCCAGGATTATATCTTGTTGGCTTCAAGGGCAAATCAAACTACTATGATGTGTTGCCTCAATTTTTAAGGAAGGGAATTCAAATCACCGTAATATATCAGAAGGGAAAAGTGACTCAGTAGAGCCCTATTTCCAAGTATACTTGAAGGAGACAAAGAAACTGGGCATGAAAATAGACAATGTCACTTATCCACCTACAATTTATTGGAAATGATGTGAATTAAAAAACAATGGTAGACCATCAATGAATCAGGACTTTAGATTTAGAAATGCATAATGTTAGAGCTGCAATATAGCCCAATCCCCTCATTGTAGGATGAGGAAACTGAGTTGACATCACTAAATTTCAACATTTTCCACCTTCCAGAAAAATAGTAATGGCTTCTCACTTAGTAGAACCTTCAGTTTTGCAAAGCCCTTTTATGTCCATTATGTCATTTGATTCTTGTGACACTCACATGAGGGAGACAGATTTTTCATGAGGAAATAGCCCTAGAGAGAAGTAACTTAGCTAAGGCCACATAATAAATAACTGAGGGAGGACTAGAACACAGGTTTGTGGATTCCCAAGTCAGTGCTCTTTCCACTATGCCTCACTGGAGGGTCAGGTCTGATATCCCAATAGTTAAATGCTGGGCTTCCTATCCAGTCCCTTCTTGGGCAGTGCCTTAATTCTCTTTGACTTTGGACAATTCCTTCCTGGCTTCTAGTCAGCTCAGGTCAGCTCTGGCTCTGCTTACAAATCCATTAATTCCTATTTACTGAGTAGAAGAATTGGAAATAGTGCAAAAGCCCATATGCAGCCCCAGCTAAGGTGCTGAGAGAGAGAGAGAGAGAGCTTCCAGCTACCTTCTGGGTCTAAATAGAGGCTTGGAAGGAACTGGTTCCCAAATGAAATTCATTCCTAATTAAAAGGTCAAGAACAAGCCATTCCAGACTAAACTTACTTCTGTTTTTCCACATAGTTATTAAATGATATGTCAGGGAAATAAAGGTTCCCTAGATTTTAGCAAAACAATGAAGTATCTCTGGAGAACTGTTGAATAGATACGAGTACAATTTTAATTCAGATTTCACAATTTAATTTGATTCAGAACCAGTTAAGTGGTTCATGGTCATGTCATTGGTAGTTCCATATGAACTTCATGGGTCTGCAGGAGTTCTTCAAGGATATGTGGTTGGACTAGGAAATCTTCATCAAAGATTTAGATAAATGGAGAGATGGCATCCTTAACAACTTTGCAAGCCAACCACAGTAGATGTTAGATGACACAGTGTTGATAGGTTAGAAAATCGGGCTGAATCTAATGAGATGCTATTTATTAAGGATAAATGTAAAGGCTTAGACAAGTTCCGTAAAGTCACAAATACAAGATAGGGTTAGACAGTGGTTCATCAGAAAAGGTCTGGGGGTTTTATTAAAATTCAAGCTCAATATGAGTCGACAGTATATGGCAGCCAAGAGAAGCTGTTTTCTTGGGCTGTGTATTGAGAGGCATAGCTTTATGGGAATAAAGTGATAGTTTCTTTGTATTTGGCCCATGTTAGACCACACCTGAAGAATGGTGTTCGTTTCTGTTTACTACATTTTAGAAAGGATGTGGATAAATTGGGGAGGGGGTGGAGATTGGGCAACTAGAATTGTAAAAGTCCTCATGTCCATTCCAGATGAGGATGGGTCTAAGGGATTAGGAGAGAAGATGCGTTATGACAGGTGCCTTCAGATACTTAAAAGGTTATGTAATGTAGAAAAGAAATTAGATTCATTGTGTTTGGCCACAGAGAACATTAGCAGGAGCAATGGGTAGAAATTGCAAATAGAGGTAAATTTATGCTTGATATTAAGGGGAAACTTCCTAATAATTAGGGCTATCTACTTGCCCCAAAGTGGATATGGGCTGCCTTGGGCTTCAGTAGGTTCCCCCTCACTGGTGGTCTTTAAGCAAAGGCCCAATGACCATTTGTCAGGTGGTGGGGACAGTTTCCCACATATGGGTTGGACTAGATGGCAATTGAAATCCCTTCCAACTCTAAAATTTTAATGTAATTTTGTGTGTGTGTGTGTGTGTGTGTGTGTGTGTGTGTGTGTGTGTAAAAGCAGAGGATACATTCTGAGAAGGCAATGTCTGTTTTCTACAGAGACCTTTGTTTCTCTTCTGTCAATTAAATTGGACTAAAATATTCCTGAATTGGAGAGAGAACAACCCGTGATAGAAGATCATCAAGAAGCCTAAGCAAGGAGCAATTCCATGGAGGAGACTAAAAACCCTTGAGGTTTATAAAACATCAATTTATGACCCACTGATAAGAAACTCCCTAGATTCTCAAAGTCTTATGTCAGCAATGTACAAGACTTGCCCAGCACTTTCAATCTAGAAAAATTTCCACTAAAGGCCCAACAAAGGAAATTTATTTCATCTAAAGATCCTCCACTGTCTGGAGAGACTCATCACCAGGAACAAACCACAGTAAACTATGGTGGGAAGTGTAGGAAGGAGAAAAACTACACATAAAATCCTTGGAGATATGAAGTTCTCAACCAAGACTTAGTGGGGAGAGAAAGTAGGTAATAGAGAAAAGGTAGACTCATTTTGGTCTTTGAAGTAACTAATACTAATGTGGACCAGTTCCCGGGTGTTTTCACAGAGCACTCCAGGCCTTTTCCACAGTAAACTCCAGGTTGTTTACTTGCCTAACAGGACTCAACCTCAGAGTTCAAAGGAAACTTCACCTGGCTCGTGGCAAAAGGGACTTGGTCTATGAAAGGGAAGCTGGTGGATTGTGGGGATTGGCCACCATCAAGATACTACATCAGATTTCTCAAGACATAAATGTTAAAGCATGAAATGGTGTTCTGATCCATGGTATCATGAGGAAAGTTATTCACATGAGGAAGAAAACTACGTGGTACCTTTGTTCAGGGCTAAGTAAATAAACAAAAGAAGCCCAGTATCTCATTAGGCTCTTTTTGGGATGGATTAAGTATGAGACAGGATGAGATGAATCTTCTGATATCAAGGGTCTTTTCCCCTAGGGGATTCTAAAAGCACAAACTAGGGTTATCAGAAATTGTACCCCCAACCCATACCACCATGACCCCAGGAATTATATGGCTGAAAACCCCCAAAAAGGAAAGTGGAACTTCTAGGCTAGGTTTTGAACAACCCAACCAGAAACTTGCACCTCATTCCAACTCACTCTTGAAAAAGCCATTTCAGTACCAAAGATGGGAAAAGTTGTCCATATATTCAAGCAGGTGAGAGGGGCTCCACTGGGCCACCCAAAACCCTCCAGTTGGGTATTTCTGAAACAGGATGATCAGGACTCAATTTGTAGTATATGGAAAATGACTGCTTCCCCAGTGAAAAGCCATCCTAGGACCTCAAGAGTACCCTAGACCAAAGCTGCCATATTTACAAAGAACACCACAAAAATAATTCTGGCAGCCAGAGGGAGTGAGAGGTCCCTCCCTCTTGCCCTCTTGTGCATCTCCCAGTGTCCCATTCCTAAGAAGTCATTCCCCCATACACACTCATCCCCAGTCTTCAGAGTAAAGCTCCTACAAGGGCCCCTTGAACTGGTTTCCTGAAAGGTGCTGTCGGATGGAAGGTTTGGAACTTGCTGCATCTCCAAGCTTCCTCCATACAACCTGTGGGAGAAAGAGACAAGTCTATGAATAAAGGTCCATGCCTACTAACCTAGTGTAACCTGCTATTCAGTGGTCCAAAATCACCATAGTTGCTTTCTCATTTGTTGACCACACAATCACTAAATGCCTTGTATAACTTTCTAATTGTCTCATACGGTTATGGAATAGCAGAGCTGTAAGAGAACTTGGACATCATGGAAGTCCAGCTTCCTTGTTTTAAAGAGGAGGAAGCCGAACCCCAGAGAGAAGAACTTGCCTATGTGATGCAGAGGGAGGACTTGGGGGGAGGGGGAGGGGAGGCAGTGCGACTCGTCTCAGTCTTCAACTTTTCACATTGCCTTAGTGCGCAGCATATGATTTAGCAGACGATGTTGGAGCAGGAAAGAGCCTTAGGAACCCTAGTCCTCTGTCTTCTCCCTTCATTTTTTTTCAGATGGGGAAACTGAGGCCTGGAGCAGGAATGTAACTTTATGGTCTCATCTATCTCAAAATTCTATGATTTTGTGTCTCTCAGGAGACCCACCAGAGAGATGGGCACTTAGTTGGCCTTAGGTTGATGGTTGCTACTTTCCACATTCTTGAGTTGAGGTCTCCATGCCTGTACTGTTAGCGAAGGTCACTAGATGGCAACACTTGTCCAAAATGCAAATTAATTCATAAGGAACGAAGAGCTTTCTGGCCTTACTAATTCCAAGCCTAGTAATCCATCTGGCTCAGAAAAATTAACTACAGGCTAGGGAGGATGTTTTTCTTGGGGGGGGGGGCGGTAGAGGGGGGATGAATGGGCAAGGAGAAGTTGACAGCTCAGGAGAGCCAGAGGCCAAGGTCTCCCTCTGGGCCTAGGCATCCACTGGTCAAATCTTTAGCAATTAGGTCCTGTAGTATTTCACTGTGTCTGGGTTACTGGGGAGGCCTCCTCTTTAGTAAATAATAGTTTCTCTAGTTCATTGCCCTCAGACAAGGATACAGTAGGATGTGAACAGGTAAAATCAATCAACAGGTTGAAGTAGAATGAGTCCTCGCCTAGCAGTCAGACTCAAATATCCAAATACAAATTTCTTGCCTCCTCTACTAATTCCCTGTGTGATTTTGGACAAGTTGCTTCCCCATTCTCTTCAGTTTCCCCTATAACAATGAAAATTTGTAAAGCACTTTAGAGTTTACAAAGCATCTTCTATTCATTATTATCTCCCCTGGTCCTCACAATAATCCTGGGAGGGAAACACAGTAGCAATTATTATCCCCATTTTCTAGGTGAAGGAATTGAGACTCAAAGGGTTAAGACAGCCCCTAAGTTAGAGGTGGGCCTCAAATCCAAGTCTTCTGGTCTTCAAGGTAGGGGACCTTCTAATTATATACTTTGCACTGATGCCCTCTTTCCCTCTATGGGCCCCTCAATTCACCCCATGAGAAGAGGTAGACAGAATCAAGGGAATGTTTGTGTTATAAGTTCCTAGGAGCAGGAACCACAGAATGTTGGAGCCAAAGGAAAACAGATACTATCGACTTCCAGTCTCACCATTTTGCAGGTGAGAAAAGTGAAACTCAAAAAGAAGAGATTTCATCAAAAGTCACATCACTCTAAAGTTGTACATATACAGCTTTGCACAAACTTGTATAAAATTAAACTAGAACACTCCTTGGGGGTGAAGATGTTGCTATTATTACAGTCACTGTGAGTAGTGGCCACACTTACCATTATGCACAGAAAGGCACTAAATAGATGCTACCTGATAAAAGGTCACTGGACTTGGGAGTCTGGAGACCTAAGTTTCCCTCTTAGTTGTACCACTTACTAACTGTAGGGCTTTAGGTAAGTCACTTAAATTCGAGGCCTCAGTTTGCTCACCTGTAAAACAGAGGCAATGATACTTATGCTACTGATCTCACCAGTTTGTTTTGAGATAAAAATGAATGTGAAGGGCTTTATAAACTGTAAAGCACAATACAAAGTTCGCTAGTTGGAGCCATAGTGTATACCATGGCAGGCATGAAATCAGGAAGATCTGGATTCAAATAAGTCCTCAGGCATTTATTAGCTGTGTGACCCTGGGCAAGTCACTTAACCCTCTGCCTCAGTTTCCTTATCTGTAAAATGCCCTGGAGAAGGAAATGGCAAACTACTTTAGTATCTTTGCCAAGAAAACCCCAAATAGGGTCATGAAGAGTCAGATACGACTGAAAACAACAACAAAGCACTATACAAATGAAAGTTGTTTCAAATGGGGTAACTGTGGCCCAGAGAGGTGAAATGGTTTGCCCTGGGTCACACAGCCTCAGGTACCTGGCTACGGAGAGGAACTCCAAGAACATAAAGTCACTATTCTAGGCATTGGTCGGTAGAGGGCAGCACTTAACCTCGTTACAAGAGGCATCTGAGCCCAGAGAGCATATTTACTTGTTTTTTGTGGGTTTTTTTTTTCCATCAGTGTAGGCCATTTTCAATTTAAAAAAAAAAAAAAACAAAAACCTACAAATGGAGATTTGTACCTCATAGTGACTGCCCCAGGATAACACAGTCACTATGGTCGAAAGCTAGAGATGAACTCAGGTCTTCCTGACTCTGAGACCAGATCTTTATTGTCTCACCGCTTTCCTTTAATACTATACAATGTACTTTCTCCCCCCAAGAAAATGGTGGCCCCCAAATTCCCCTGTAAAGGCAAAGGAATTGATCTTTGGATGACTATTTGGATAAAACCCTGAGACACAGAAACACCTTCCTCCCAAAGCAGATGAGATCAATGCTGCCTATGGCCTCAGGTGACCAAGGGTGAGCAGAGAGCCTCATGGGGCAATGCAGAGGTCTGTAGATTACAACCACAGGCTAAATTTGGCCTGCTACCTGCTTTTGTATGGCCTATAAGCTAAGAATGGATTTTACATTTTAAAATAAAGTTTGTATTTTAAAATATAAAAATTATTTTTAGTTCCTAGGCCTTACAGAAGCAGGTGGTCATTTGCCAACCCTTGGTGTAGTGGAAAGAGCTCTGGTTAAGGGATCTGAATCTGAGTATACATGTATGACCTCAGGCAAGTCACTTACCTATGTCATTGCCCACAAAAAGAAGAAAGTGGGATCATTCAGTCAGTGGGCACCTGGAAACCAATCAGATCTGAATTCTGGCCCTGCCTTCTGTATTAATTCAGAAGCAACATGGTATAAGGGAAAGAACACTGGCTTTTGAGTCAGAGGACCTGGGTTCAAATCATACCTTTGTTACATACACCCATGTGGCCTTGGCAAGTTACAATCTCACGGGGCCTAAGTTTTCTTATCCATAAAATGAAAGTTAAGACTACATGGCCTCCAAGGTCTCTTCCAGTTCAAAAACCATATATAATCCTATGAACTTGCTATGCTTTTTGAGAACGGGAGCTGTCACACAGCAGTTAGCTTAGTTCACTTCTCTGTAAAATGAGAGTCTTAATCCAGAAGATGACCTCTAAGGCCTTTAGCGATGCTAACATTCTAAAAATCTGTGAATGTTTCCAACCTCCCAGGAAAACAAAAAAATCATTTCTCAGTCAACCTTTTACTTGTCAGAATCCATTCCCATTCATTATCAACAACCTTGTAAGAGAGGCAAGGCAAGAATTTTTCATCCTCATTTCTTATTTGAGGAAACTGAGGCCCATAAAGGTCAGGTGACTTGTCCACAACTGACGAGTGACAGAGCCGGGACTGGAAGGCAAGTTTTCCCATTTGACCATCCTGCCTCTCACATGAAGACTCGAGGATATGTCCAAGTGCCCTTTGGTGATTGGAACCAAAACTTTATCCATTTTAGAGAGTAGGGCAAGAGCAATTTCTCCAAGACCCCATAGAATTTAAAGCCATTACATTGCACATTTCACGGACGATTGCTTTCTCCTTTTCGCTCAGGTCCTCCTCGTAACTGTCCTGTATCTGCCTGTCCAGGTTTTCATGAACTTCCAAGACCTGGAGGCAAATGGATACACAAAGGTTATTAGGGCATATTTCTTTCCTCCAACTGAGTCTGACATTTAGACTGGTTTAAACTCAGCCTTCCAGCCCTAGATTTTGTCTCAATTGCTAGATAAACTGAAAATATCTTCCTTCCCTCCTTGTCTCATAATTAGATATGAGCCCTTGAGGACTGAGTGATCTGTATTTGAAGGACTCTTAATAATGTCCAGCCACTAGTCCTTGACTATCTATAACCCAGAATTCACCATATATTCCACACTTATTTCAATATAAAGTCCAAGCTTGCTAGTCTAACATTCGAGACCCTCCTGACGCTGACACCCTGCTTCCCCTTCATATCCCATCTGCACCTGTTGCTCAACATTTACACCATGCTCTGCTCTAACAAAAGAGATCTTTTCGTCTCCACCACTTGTTAGGTATGTGAACCCAGGGCAAGTGATTTCTCTTCCTCTCTGGGTCTGTCTCATTATGTGTCAAATGAGGGGGTTGGATTCAATGATTCCTAAGATTTCTTCCAGCTGTAATATACTACATTTTATGACTCTTCAACCCCTTCTGGTTTTGACAGTCTACGATCTATGATTCTAACGGCCACTATTGTTTGTATAAAACCTGTACGTTTACAAAATGACTTGGGGTCCTTGTGAGGGAGGCTCTTTTAAACCTTAAAAGACCACTTAAAGGTGAGTTATTATTGTCATCAATATTCTCATTGCTTTGCATAATTTTCCTGCAAGGAAGATAAGGAAGCACTTCTATCTCCCTCTTTTGCAGAAATCAGATGAAGTTAAGTGATTTGTCCAAAGTTGTAGACTGGAAGAACCAGGTCTGGGATTTGGGTCCCCTGCCTACTCCTTCCAGGAGGCTACATTGCTGCTTATGTCCTGGAACTACAGAAAGACGGCATAAAGGGAGACAGCACAAAACAATTCCTACTCTTAAAAGTTCTGACACTGTCATCTAAAGATCTTTTAGAAAACCCACTCTGAGCAAATATATATGTATGTGTATATGTCTATATGCATATGTATATATGAGTGGTTTTATATATTATAAATTTATATATCATATTAAAATGATGAAAATATAAGACATTATATGTATACCTATATACACACATATATGTATATATACCTACATGTTTGGTGATGTATGTATGTATGATATGTAAAATGGTGAAAATATAAAACATTATATTACATGTATTATATGTATACCTATATATATGTGTGTGTGTATATATATATATATATACATCCATAAATCCATAATAACCAAAGGAAGACTCTTAGTTTCCTGATAGGTTTGGAGGTAGTCCTATCTGGAAGAAAGGAAATAAGACTCAAAGAACATCATTTCCAAGACCTTTAAGTCTGTTTCTATTATTCTCATCACACACACACACACACACACACATTCTCTCTCTCTCTCTCTCTCTCTCTCTCTCTCTCTCTCTCTCTCTCTCTCTCTCTCTCTCTCTCTCTCTCTCTCTCCCTCCCCTGTTCCTTCTTTAAGGGATGAATAATCAAAAGTGACACATTCAGACAGTTGGTGGCATGTCAGGGACATGGAGTCCTAGGCTACTGGGGTCCAGGGTGCTCTCTGAGCATGTATGTGTGCAGCAGAGAGAAGGGTAGGAGTGGAGAAAGGGACACAGAGACATACCTTCATAGCATGCACTACTGCCTCAGGTTTATGTCCCATAGGGACATAGCCCATTGCAGGGGAGGAAGAAAGCTCGGCTGTCATGTGAGCAGGACCCTGTGGAGAAGTAATTATACCTTTTAGCTTGGTTTTGATTTCTCAGTGAAAGTTTGAATCATCCAAATGTCTCTTTTAGGCAGTATGGCCCCCAAAACTGGCAGGTCAAGGCAACAATTATGGAGACTCAGACGTTCAGAACTGGAAGAAGTCTTAGAATGACAGAATCCTACAGTGGGAACTATTTGTTGAAGATTTCATCAACAGGATTCATGACATGGGTAAAGGTTGGAGTACATGACCTCTGTGGACTTTGCAACTCTAGTTCTATGAGTCTTTGATAATGCAAGAGTTGGATGGGACCTTTGAATCTTCAAACCAGAAATTGTCAAAACTAGGAGGGACCTCACAATCCTGGAATGTCAGGCTTAAAAAGAGCCTTAGATATTTATTCACAAGATCATGGGATCACAGCTATAGAGGTGGAAGGAACCTTGGAAGCCAATGTGCTATTATTGATCACATGATTCTATGTGGTTATGGGCAGGAAGAAGATGGGGGTTAGGGCCACAGCGGAAGAAAAAAAGGATAAAGATAATCTGGGACAACTGAAGTCCAAAGAGAATTTCTAAGGCTGTTCTAGGCCTGAATTATACTCCTTTCAATTGTCTGCTTTATAAAATGGTGAGGCTGAATTATAAGGATTCTGAAATCTTTTCTAATTCTAATATCTTTCCTTTCTTTGTTAATGAAACATCTTTCCTGAGTGATGCTGCCACAGGAAAGCAAAGAAGAGATAGCTTTTGGCCAAGATGGCTACCTAAAAAGAGTCCAGCCAGCCAGCTCCACACATATACCTACTTGAGAAAAATTAAAAATCACACCAGATCTAGTAACAAGCAAGAGAGCCAATGAGAAACTACAGTAAATGCACCCTTCCACCACCACAGGACTGCTGAAAAGCAAACCATAAACCTACAGGGAACAGGAAAGGGGACCACGCAATAGCAAAAGCAGTCAGTGTGGGCACAGGAAAGCACCCTGAGGAGCCTCAACATGTACCCCAAATGAACAAGAAACACATGTAACCTACAACATTCTGTGTTGAGAGTAAAGGGCTCCCCGAAGAGACTTTCGAAGCTTCAACAAGCTATGGTGACCAGTGAAGCATTTAGACCAATATACCCCAGGCCCAGGGGCTCTGAGGTGCCCAGCACTCTATCCTGAAAAGCCACTGAGGGACCCTAAGACCTAGCACTTTGAACCTCAAAGATCCAGAAGGGGCTAGCCCCAGGAGATTTAAGTCAGCATAGTAACCCCGGTGACCAAGAGCCAACAAGCAGATCCACCCAGGTGACCCGCCAACCATTCTACCCAATAGCAGGGTGGGGCAGAGACTAGCTCTGACACAAAGCCCCAATTTAAGGATTAAATCTAGACAGATAGATCAGTAAATAAAAAAAAGTCTTAACCAGTACAAAAATTTACCATAAATCTAGAAATCTTTCCCAAAGTAACCTAGTGACAACTGGGAGCAAAAACTAAATAGAAAAATGGATTTTCCACAAGGACTACAAGACTCTGGAAGAAATGAAGCAAGAGATTTTTGTCTTTTTTTTGGTGAGGCAATTGGGGTTAAATGACTTGCCCAGAGTCAAAGAGAAGGGACTTTTAAAAATAAAAGTTTGAGGAAAAAATTGAAAGAAGAATAAATACTTAGAACAGACTTGACCCAAGCAATAGGCTTTCTGAAAATTAGAATATACTAAACAGAAATTAGTGATTCCATGAGATAAATAATATTAGAACAAATGTAAATGATTGAAAAACTGAAAAAGATAACTGAGATTTAAAAAAAACAAGTTGGAAATAAATCATATAAATCTGGAAAATAAAAGAAATAAAAATAAAGAGAAAGAATTTAAGTCACTAGACTTCCTAATTAAAAAAAAAAAGCCTGAACACTATATTTCAAGAGATATAAGTGAAAACTTCCTAGATCTATTAGAACCAAAAGGCAAAGTAAAAATAAAAACATTCTGCCTATCACTTCCTAAAAGAAATCTCAAAAAGAAAAATACCAGGAATGTCACAGCCAAAATCTAGTCCTTCCAAAAAAAAAATAGCACTGAAAATACTGAAAGATACTGAAAGAAGTAGCTTAAGGACCTAGGAACCAGTCAAGATCACATGGACCTGGCAGCTTCTACTATAAGTATAGGGAAGATCTTGGAATATATTTCAAAAGGCAAAAGAGACAGGCTTACAACTAAGAATAACTTACCCCCTCATAGCCACAGACAATCTTTCAGAGAGAAAAGTGGCCATTTACTGAAATAGGATATTTTCAAACATTTCTGATAAAAAAAAAACCCAGAACTGATCAGGAACTGGAAAATACACATTCAAGAATCCAGTCAAACCTACCAACTGTATATCCATTTGAGCAATTAGAATGAGCTATTTGATGACATAGTGCTAACATTCTAATAGGGGAAGAAGAAGCAAGTATCTTTCAGAACTGTAATATCTCCAAAAGATACTGAGGAAGTTAAAAAGAAAATGGAACGACCGAGGGATAGAATGTTCTGCTCTGAGGATTCTAAAAAGAGGAAAGTGATGGAAAATACGGAGGAAGGGTTTGGAGAGGTGGGCATCAGATGAACATCTTACCTGAAATGGACAAAGGAGAATCACACACACACACACACACACACACACACACACACAGAATTCAGTGTAGAGATACATTAACAGAGAAACAAGCAGGGACAGGGCAGGGTGAAGAGGGAAGATAATACTAGGGAGGAAATATAAACAAACTTTCTGATCCTGAAATGGAGACTAAAAGGGATTGGGAATCAAAGAACTAGACTTATAGGGATGCCTTAGATTTTTTTTTCCTTAGATAATTGGGAATGGCTAAACAAAATGTGGTATCCAAATGTAACGGAATGTTTATTGTACCTCAAGAAATGACAAAAGATCAGAGAATCTTGGGAACTGAACTGATGCAGAGTGAAAAGCAGCAGACTCAAAGAAACAATTTGAAGGACAACTACAATGTAAAGGAAAACAATATGGAAAGATTTTAAAAAGCTGATCAATGCAAGGATGAACCAGGTCTCTAGAGGACCTAGGATGAAGCATGTTGTTATCCACCTCCTGATAGAGGGGTGGTGGATACAGAAAAGACAGTCCTTTTCTGATGTGGCCACTGCGTGGTTTCATGGTGTTTGCCCTATGTTTATCTCTGCAAGGATTTATTAAGCGCTTATTATGTGTCAGCCCTTGTGCTAATTACCAGGGATCAAAACAAAAACAAAACAGCAAATATATGATCCAGGCCTTCAAGAAGCTTACATTCTAATGAAGGAGGCAATGTGTAAACAACTTCCTGCCAATTACCAGAGGACAAAGATGATCCTCCATCAGGACCTAGGCTCCTGAAGTGGGGTTGAACCAATCTAGTCCCTGCTCTACAAGTAGAAAAGAGATAAAAGCAGTATGGATCTAGAGTCAGAAGGAACCTTAGTGGTATAGTCCAACCTCTCCATTTTTTAAATTAAGGAAACTGAGGCCTAGAGAGGTTAAGTGACTTGACTTACTGAAGGAGTCACCCAAGTAATAAACAGCAGCAGAACCAGGATTCAAACTCAAGTTCAGCATTTTTTCATTTTTTCACTAACCTTTCCTCAAGCGATGACCCACTAAATATTTTTAATAAAGGGATCATGGCTTCCCTAATCTTTCTTGTCTCCAGGCAAAACACCACCAATTCCTTTGATCGATTCACACAGAGCCCAAGTTTCAGCCCCCTGCCAGCATCCTACTTGAAACCATTCTATCATTCCTCCCTACCCAGACTCAGCTTATCGCAATGTGTCCACAACTCTGTTTCTTTCACTCTCATTCTGGACAAACTCCTTTAAGAAGCCGCATGATTGTGCACTTCCAGGAGTCACTTTCTTTCATATCAAGCTCACTTGAATTCTGCCCCTAGATCCTCAGGGGAGAACAATTATAAATAAGGCAAGGATGACTGTCACTACTCAGACCAACTTTCTTCCCCTGAAGAACAGGATGGACAATCCAAATGCAGCTTCATCCTAGGAGTCAAGCAGGGAGACTGCCCACCCCATTCCAGGACTACAAGAGACTTAAGCTGAAGTTTGTTGAAGATCCTAGAATTTACCCTCCTTGACACAGACCATACGCTGGTTCTGAAAACTGCCAGCTCCAGCTGGAGGCACCAAGCTGGGGAACTAGGAAGAATCCCAGCTCCATCACCTACCGGAATCGGTCATTTCCACTTTCTGGGCCAATATCTCATCAGTTAAATGGGATGATCATAGCTACTCTGCCAGCTTTTGTAAAGATCAAATGGGGATAACAGATTAGAAAATTCTTGGGAAACTAGAAAGTGATGTTGTTAACTCGTCTGACTCTTTGTGATGCCATTTGGGATTTTCTTGGCAAAGTGACTGGAGTGGTTTGCCATTTCCTTCTCCAGCTCATTTTATAGATGAGGAAACTGAGGCAAACAGGAGTAAGTGACTTGCCCAGGGTCACAGGGCTAGTTAGTGTCTGAGGCCAGATTTGAACTTAGGTCTTCCTGACTCCAGGCCCAGTATTCTATCCACAGTAATACTTAACTGCTGGAAAGTGATGTAGAAAGGTAAAATCATTGAAAGAGTAGCAGCAGCAGTAGTAATAACAATAATAATGGTGTAGAGTGGACCTTTGATTTCATTGACATAGAGACATCCCAGACGAAGAAACTTCCTCAGCACCTTATAGGCAGTTTATAGTCCTAGAAAATTTCCTAGAGCACGGTGTCAAACATGACATCTTCCCCGACCAGATTAAAATGTAATAGGGAAATTTTTAAAATAAATAAAAATACAATACAACATAGATAATATTAATAAGTCAATATGCAGCTGATTCACTTCTATCTGAATTTGATACCACTGGCCCAGAGCACAGAGATGTTAAGGGATTTGCCTAGGATCCCATAGCCAATACGAGTCAGAGGCAGATCTTGAACCCAGGTCCTC